TGGCCCCTCGCGAGGGTCTTGAGCTTGTGCTGATGAAGATGGGCCACGCTGGGCCCCCATTTGAGCCACGCCACAGGCCGCAGGCAGGCAAGTCTGGGGACCCCCGTTCCCAGAATGCCGACAACCTCTGATCTTGAGAATAATATTAAAGAATTTATCAACACGCAAAAAGTTTTCAACACTACCATAGAAGAAAAGTTGAATAAGATTGATGATTTGTCTAGAAGTGTTGATAGAATTTCTTATGATGTGGAAAATCTCAAGATGAAATTTTTTGTGCCTAAAGCTGAGGAATCAATTAAAGCTCTTTATGTTTCTATGGATGAAAGTAAGAAAAGAACCGCTCTGCTTAGAGCTAAAAGAGAATTTTTAGAAAAAGTGTTCTCTAGTGATTACTTTCGCAAAAAGTGATGAAGATCTTAAAATGATTGGTGTTTCTTATATTGATTCCTTGTTTAGTAAATTTAAGATTGATGAAAAAGGTACTGGAGAAGAGTCAACTTTAGTTAAAAGGCGTTCCGCTAATTCGAAGGATGAAAATCTTGTTGAGAAAATTGATAAAAGTGGGTTTGAATAGGTCAAAACTTTAATTAATGATGTGCCCATTCTTTTGGATTACAACGACTTTAATTATGATAATTGCTCTTTGATTGATTGTATTTCTTTGATGCAATCCATGATAAATTCACCCCATGCTTATGAACAAACTAAAGCTTTTACTAAACATATTGTCGATGCTATGATGAAAGCTTTAGAAGAAAAGTTGAAATTGGAAGTTTCAATTCCTAGAAAATTACATGATGAATGGGAACCTACTATCGAAGTTAATATTAAAAATTATGTGTGCTTTGCTTTGTGTGACTTGGGTGATAGTGTTTCTACAATTCTGAAATCATTATGTGATGTGCTTGGTCTTAACGATATTGAAGAATGCTCTTTAAATTTGCACTTGGTGGATTATACTATTAAAAAGTCAATGGGAAGAATTAATGATGTTCTTATTCTTGCAAATAGGAATTATGTGCCCATAGATTTTATTGTTCTTGATACTGATTGCAATCCGTCTTGTCCAATTATTCTTGGTAGACCGTTTTTACGCATTATCGGTGTTGTGATTGATATGAAGGAAGGCAATATTAAGTTCCAATTCCCCTTGAGGAAGGGTATGGAACACTTCCCTAGAACAAGAATTAGGCCACCATATGAATCAATCATGAGGGCATCTTATGGATCTCGAACCAAAGATGACAAAACTTAGATCCTTGCTTTATGCCTAGCTAAGGGCGTAAAACTATAGCGCTTGTTGGGACGCAACCCAATGAATACAATTTATTTTTGCTTTTTGCTTTCTGTTCTTGAGTGTTTGAACAATTATGCTACTGTTATGATTGTGTTTTTTGTGTGTTTTAATTAGTGTTTGTGCCAAGTAAAGCCTTTAGGATTTTCTTGGGTGATAGTTGTTTGATCTTGCTAAAAAACAGAACCTTTTGTGGTTACGAAAATAATTTTATTTTTTAACCAGAGAGTGATAAAATACCAATTCCTTTTGCAGTAGATTAATGTACAAATTTACCAGGTCTTCCTAATTTTTCAGAGTTTTTGGAGTTACAGAAGTATTCCAATTATCCAGATTGCTACAGACTATTCTGTTTTTGACAGATTCTATTTTCATTGCGTTGTGTGTTTGTTTTGATGGCTCTATGGTTTTCTTTGATGAATTTTTGCCATAAAAAAGTTGGAATACAGTATATATAATGCAAGAAAAAAATATGAATTAGTTTACTATAGCACTTATAGTAGTGATTTATTTTCTTGTACTAACGGATCTCACGAAGACTTTTGTTGAGTTTTGTGTGATTGAAGTTTTCAAGTTTTGGGTTATCTTACGATCGATGAAGGAATAAGGAGTAAGAAGAGCCTAAGCTTGGGGATGCCCTGGCATCCAAGCTATCCTAGACTATCATTAGTTTATTTTATTTTTCTCGACAAAATCAGTATAATTGTTAGTCTAGTTCTTGGTATAAAGAAGGAATAAATATACATAGTGCAGTTTGTGTGTGATCATTATCTGTTCTTGATTATCTAAATATACACAGTGCAGTTTGTGTACATAATGAAAAGATAGGTAAATCTGCATTTTTTCGTCATTTTCTAGAGGGTAGCTTCATCGCCTCACAGCTGCAGCAAGACCCTGAATTGGGCAGTATCATGAAGGACAAGGTAGATTATTCCTCTTGTTTTAATCATCTCCTTATTCATATTACTGTAGATTATTATTGCTTGGTCAAATCTGTGCTACAAACTATTCTTTTTTTGGTAAGCTGAGAGCTATGTTAATATCTGACATTACTAGACATTGTAGTTGTTGAAGAATTTGAGCTCAAGTGCTACCACCTTCCTACTGACATTACTAGACATTGCAGTTGTCATTTTTTTCCAGTGTGGTCCTTTCTGTTAGATGATGTTCCAATGCCGGACATATGAACTGTTTGTTTGTACAACTTGCACTCTTACTATTTAGGTGTAGTAGTAATAACTAGCGGCATTTTTCTTCTTTAGACTTGGAATGGATCCAGAAATGAGGGGTCGTGTTAGGAAGAGGGAGGAGGAGGATGACGAAATGATGTTATTTTTTTCCCTGCACTACATTTGATAGAGACCAATGGAGTTGCTCTTAGGGAGCGGAGGATTCCGCATCATACATCATCGCTAACAGGCGAGATGTTTGTTAAGGAGTTACTCGAAGGGCACGTCAAAAATTGTCGGGTAGCATTTAGGATGGAGCCGCGTATCTTCAAATCTTTGGCTAATTATCTTCGAAGGGAGAAGTTGGTGAAGGATACCAGAATTGAAGTCGAAGAGACACTAGAATCATTTCTATGGATGTTATCCCATAATTCTTCATTTGAAGACCTTCAAGTTCGATTTGGTCACAGCGGGGATATTTTCCATTGGCAAATGAAGAATTTCTTTGACATCATCCCTATTCTCTCCAAGAATTTTTTGAAGCCTCCAAATCCCAGTCAAGTACATCCGAAGATTTAGTCGGACACGAGATTCTTTCCTTATTTTCAGGTTTTTGCTTCGCCAACTTTGATCCATATCGATAACTTACTCTTCGTGTTATAGGTGCTAAGTTGTAGTATTTCGTTGCAGAACTGCATTGGGGCAATTGATGCGACACATGTTCCTATAACAAATTCAGGAGAAAAAGGCGCACCATTTAGAAATAGGAAAGGGACCCTAAGCCATAATGTTATGGTCGTGTGTGACTTCGACCTGAACTTCACCTTCATTTCTTGTGGCTGAGAGGGATCTGCTACTGATGCTAAAGTTCTCCGGTCAGCACTTAACAGTGGGTTTCATGTACCTCCGAGCAAGTTTTATCTGGTTGATGGTGGTTATGTCAACACACCTTACTTCTTGGCACCGTACCATGGTGTTCGGTACCATCTGAAGGAGTTTGCACGCGGTCGTCGTCGACCCCAAAATCACAGGGAGCTATTCAATCTCCGCCATGCCGTGTTATGAAATCATGTCAAACATGGATTAGGAATCTTGAAGAAGCGGTTCCCAATCCTAAAAGTGGGCACGCATCATCGAATAGAGAACCAAGTCAAGCTAATAGCAGCGGCGGCAATCTTACATAACATAATCTGATCTGAAAAAGGAGATGAGCGTTGGTTAGATAACCAACCAAACAATATACCTATCATGAATTTTGTTGATCTTCCTGACGGTGATATTCCTCAAAATCATCAAATCAACCATGAAGGTGACAACCTTAGAGATGCCATTGCTCATCAAATGTGGGCTGATTATCAACATGCATAACTTGTCATTTGTAGTGTAGTAGTAATAAGTATAGTGTAGAAGTTTATGTTTTTTTCTGTTGTTCATGTCATGAATATTGTTCAGAAGTCACTATGATGACTGCTCGAGGGTCACCAAGGTTGAGCCTCCTTAAAAAAGCTGTCGAAAGGGATAGAGCATCACCTCCTACAAGCAGTGTGACAAAGAGGAGGAGAGGGTCTCCCAAAGGTAATAAACTAGTCGTGACTATTTCTCTGGTCGGGACTTTATTTGCTTAAAACCAAAATAGTTAAGATAGAAAAAGGTACATTAACATACAATGTGGAAATGCAGAAGATAGAGCACAATGGAATGCGAGCCTTGAGAAAGATCTTGTGGACTTGCTTCGTGAGCATGATACACCTGAACATAAGGGTCAAAATGGATGGAGCTCAGAAGCATGGGATACGATAGTGAAGAAATTCCACCAAAAGAATCCTTATGCTAGGTACGAGAAGAAGAAAATCCAAGAAAATGAGAAATAGTTAAAAAGAGAATACAAGATGATCAAAGAGATAAGGAAGCAAAGTGGCGTTTCATGGGACGACCGGTAGTGCAAGATTCTAGTGGATCTGCCACTTTGGAAAAACATCATCATAGTAAGCATGTCATTGTTATTCCCTAAAAGTTTCATTACTTGTTGCATGCTCTAATATCATTTTCTTGTCAACTATGTAGTCACACCCTAAAGCTGGAAAGTTCAAGACAAAAGCCTTCCCTCTTTTTGAAGCTTTGGGAGAATTGCATGATGGTTAGTTGTCAACTTCATTCATATACTCGTGTCATTGTTTTATGTTTGTTTACTCTTCTAGTTTGAAATCTTATATTTGATTGTCACTTTAACTTGTAGGCCAAACTGCAGAAGGGACATATAACTTCACCTCTATCGATTCATTACATTGCTCAACCCAATCACATCTCGAGAATCTTGGAGGAGCTGGCGAGAATCAAGGAGAAACATCAGCTAATGGTGAGAATCTTGGAGGAGAAAGGGTGCAGATTGATGAAGATGTTGAGGAGGTGTACGTGCAAGAAAACATTGCTGTGGAGCCCCACCAAACTCAACCAAATTTGGCTACTGCACCCTCAAGAAATGGAGAAGAGAAAGAACCAAAGAGAAGGAGGGGGCGAATGGTGATGTGGCCGCAATGATGGAGAAGTACTTGGAAATAAGGACGAAGCAGGTGGTGGATGAGAGGAATAAGCCAAGGGTCGTGGGTGAGTACTCTATCAAAAACTGCGTTGATCTGCTGAAAACAATGGACATCACACCTGAAGAAGAAGTCAAGGCTTTCCGAGTCTTCAAGATCCCCGAGAACCGAGAGATTTTCATCAGTGCCAGACCAGAGACTGCTCTTATGTGGCTGAGAGCTAAAATGGAATAACTCAGGTACTCCTCTTTTCAATTAGTCCATGTTACTAAACTCTTTGCTAGCCATTTAGTCCATGTTGTTGCTGCTGCAGTAAAGACATTATTTTCTGCTGAAAATGGATATTTGCTTTTAATATATTTATGAAGTTATTTTCTCCAAAGCATCGTCATGATCTCCATCGACACCGGCTCGACACCTTGATCTCCATCGTAGCATCGTGGTCATCTCGCCAACTATTGCTTCCACAACTATCGCTAACGGATAGTGATAAAGTAAAGCAATTACATGGCGTTTGCATTTCATACAATAAATAGACAACCATAAGACTCCTGTCGATTGTCAGATATCTTAAAAAACATGATCATCTCATACAATAATGTTTATCACATCATGTCTTGACCATATCACATCACAACATGCCCTGCAAAAACAAGTTAGACGTCCTCTACTTTCTTGTTGCAAGTTTTACGTGGCTGCTAGGGGCTTCTAGTAAGAACCGTTCTTACCTACGCATCAAACCACAACGGTGTTTCGTCAAGTTTGTTGTTTTAACCTTCTTCAAGGACCGGCAGTAGTCAAATTTGATTCAACTAAAGTAGGAGAAACAGACACCCGTCAGCCACCTTTATGCAAAACTAGTTGCATGGCTATCGGTGGAACCGGTCTCATGTGCCTGGACATGTAAGGTTGGTCCGGGACGCTTCATCCCACAATACCACCGAATCAAAATAAGACGTTGGAGGTAAGCAGTATGACTATCACCGCCCACAACTCTTTGTGTTCTATTCGTGCATATCATGTACGCATAGACCTGGCTCGGATGCCACTGTTGGAAAACGTTGCATGGAAAACAAACAAAAAATTCTACGCACTCACAAGGATCTATCCATGGAGATGCATAGCAACGAGGGGGGGGGGGAGTGTGTCTACGTACCCTCGTAGACCGTAAGCAGAAGCGTTTGACAAGACGGTTAATGTAGTCAAACTTCTTCTAGCTCCGACCAATCAAGTACCGAACGTACGACACCTCCGAGTTATGCACATGTTCAGCTCGGTGACGTCCCTCTCCTTATTGATCCAGCAAGACGTCGAGGAAGTAGATGAGTTCCGTCAGCACGATGACGTGGTGAAGGTGATGGTGAAGTGATCCACGCATGGCTTCACCTAAGCACCGCGAGAATATGACCGGGGTGTAAACTATGGAGGAGGATGCCACACACGGCTAACAATTGATGTTGTGTGTTGTAGGTGCCCCTCCCCTCATATATATAGGTGGGAGGGGAGGAGAGGCAGCCAGGGGGCGCCCCTTCCTTATTTTACCGGAGAGGAAAAGGGAAGGGAGAAGAGAGAAAGGAAGGGGGCCAAAACCCCCCCTTTACCTTCTCCAATTCTGCCACATGCCAAGGGGGGGGGGCGCCACCCCTTATGGGTTGGTGTTCTCCCCTCTTATGGCCCATATGACCCATATACCTCCCTCGGGGGTTCCGGTAACCCCTTCGGTATTTCGATAAATACCCGATACACTCCGGAACACTTGTGGTGTCCGAATACTATCGTCCTATCTATCAATCTTTACACCTCGACCATTTCGAGACTCCTCGTCATGTCCGTGATCTCATCCGGGACTCCGAACAACATTCGGTCACCAAATCACATAACTCATATAATACAATATCGTCCTCGAATGTTAAGCGTGCGGACCCTACGGGTTCGAGAACTATGTAAACATAACCGAGACACCTATCCGGTCAATAACCAATAGCGGAACCTGGATGCTCATATTGGCACCTACATATTCTATGACGATCTTTATCGGTCGAACCGTTATGACAACATATGTTATTCCCTTTGTCCATCAGTATGTTACTTGCCCGAGATTCGATCGTCGGTATCTACATACCTAGTTCAATCTCGTTACCGGCAAGTCTCTTTACTCGTTCCGTAATACATCATCCTGCAACTAACTCATTAGTCACTTTGCTTGCAAGGCTTCTTATGATGTGCATTACCGAGAGAGACCAGAGATACCTCTCCAATACTCGGAGTGACAAATCCTAATCTCGATCTATGCCAACCCAACAAACACCTTTGGTGATACCTGTAGAGCATCTTTATAATCACCCAGTTACGTTGTGACATTTGATAGCACACAAGGTATTCCTCCGGTATCCGGTAGTTGCATAATCTCATAGTCGAAGGAATATGTATTTGACCTGAAGAAGGCAATATCAATAAAACTGAACAATCAATATGCTAAGCTAACGGATGGGTCATGTCCATCACATCATTCTCCTAATGATGTGATCCCGTTATCAAATGACAACTCATGTCTATGGTTAGGAAACCTTAACCATCTTTGATCAATGAGCTAGTCTAGTAGAGACTCACTAGGGACACGATGTTTGTTTATGTATTCACATATGTATTAAGGTTTCCGATCAATACAATTCTAGCATGAATAATAAACCTTTATCATGAATAAGGAAATATAAAATAACAACTTTATTATTGCCTCTAGGGCATATTTCCTTCATTATAAATTCCCACATATTGGAAAATCCTAGACCACACACCAAAACAATTTTCCTGCCACTGCAAGTCTCTTTTCTTCCGTGATCCCATCTAGAGGCATTTTTCGGTACTCTGCCGAAGGGGCAATCAATCATGGTGGGCCTCTAATCAACCTTGCTGCACCTCCGATGATGTATGAGTAGTTTACCAGATACCTACGGGTCCATAGTAATTGTCTAGATCTCTATCTCTCCCTCTCTCTCCTCTCTCTCTCCCCCCCTCTCTCTCTTTAATCTTCAATACAATGTTCTCTTCGGAGTTCTATTTGATGTAATCTTCTTTTACAGTGTGTTCATTTGGATCCAATGAATTATGGGTTTATGATCAGATTATTCATTGAAATTAATTGATTCTTTTCCGAACTTTATTACGTATGATTGTTATAGCTATGTAATGCTTTTCGATCTATGGGTTTTTGTTGGCGAAGTTGATTTGTAGATCTTCAATAGAAGTGGTGCATAGTAGTAGGTTCAATCTTGCAGTGTCCTCACCTAGTGACAACAGGGGTAGCTGATGTCTACTATTTAACCTTCTTCTTATAGACTCGTGTTGGGCCTCCAAGCGTAGAGTTTTGTAGGATAGTAGCAAATTTCCCTCAAGTGGATGACATAAGGTTTATCAATCCATGGGAGGCATAGGATGAAGATGGTCTCTCTCAAACAACCCTGCAACTAAATAACAAAGAGTCTCTTGTGTCCCCAACAAACCCAATAAAATGGTAAATTGTATAGGTGCACTAGTTTGGCGAAGAGATGGTGATACAAGTGTAATATGGATAGTAGATATGGGTTTTTGTAATCTGAAAATATAAAAAACAAGGTAACTAGTAAAAAAAGTGAGCAAAAACGGTATTGCAATGCTTGGAAACAAGGCCTAGGGTTCATACTTTCACTAGTGCAAGTTCTCTCAACAATGATAACATAATTAGATCATATAACAATTCCTCAACATGCAACAAAGAGTCACTCCAAAGTTCCTATCGCGGAGAACATAAGATCACATTGTTTGTAGGGTACGAAACCACCTCAAAGTTATTCTTTCCGATCAATCCATTGTTTTATTCCTATAAGTGTCACAAAAAGCCCTAGAGTTCGTAGTAAAATAACACCATATGATACACATCGATCAACCCTAATGTCACCTAGATACTACAATGTCACCACAAGTATCTGTGGGTCAATTATACGATATGCATCAAACAACTTTAGATTCATAATATTCAATCCAACACAAAGAACCTCAAAGAGTGCCCCAAGATTCCTACCTGAGAAACAAGGACAAAAACATGCATCAACCCCTATGCATAGATTACCCCAATGTCACCCCGGGAATCCGCAAATTGAGTGCCAAAACATACAACAAGTGAATCAATAGAACACCCCATTGTTGTCGGATTTCGGGCTCCGCAAACCCTGGATAGATTAGAACTCTAGGGTGCGTGCGGAGAACTCGACCTCCCTAGTCTGCCAACCCGTCGATCCCATGGCCTAGCTCGACGAACTAAAAGGAAAGAGGACACAACACTTTACCCAGGTTCAGGCCTCCTTGCGGTGAAAAACCCTACTCTTGCTTTGTGGTGTATTGGCCTCAAGGTGGGCTGAGGATGAACTAGTAAAGTGGAAGAACGACTTCAGGAGGTGTGTTCTTGAGCTGGTGGGGGAGAGGAAGATCTGGATGATCCGGATCCGGTCCCGTCCCTTTCTACGGTGGTGGCTAGGCCGTATTTATAGTGGCCTTGGTCCTCTTCCCAAATGAAGGCGGGAAGGGATCCCACAACGGCCAAATTGAAAGGGAGACAACTAGTACATCTTATCCTGACAAAAGTAGTCTTCGCCTGCAAAGCCTCTGGTCCTGACGCTGTGGTGGGCTCGGCGATGACCTCCACCCTGCCGTCCTGGCTGTCTTGGTCTTGTTGCATGGGAATGGAAACCTTTGGTTGATTCCTCGGGACTCTACGCCCGCGCTTGCCTCCTTAGCACCAAAGAGGAAGCTGCTGTTCTGCGCTCGCTAGCGCCTGCTACCTCTTGAGCACTTGCGTTGGTTTTCCCTTGAAGAGGAAAGGGTGATGCAGCAGAGTAGCATAAGTATTTCCCTCAGTTTTTGAGAACCAAGGTATCAATCCAGTAGGAGGCTACGCGCGAGTCCCTTGCACCTGCACAAAACAAATAAATCCTCGCAACCAACGCGATAAGGGGTTGTCAATCCCTACACGGTCACTTACGAGAGTGAGATCTGATAGATATGATAAGATATTATTTTTGGTATTTTTATGATAAAGATGCAAAGTGAAATAAAAGGCAATGAAAATAACAAAGTATTGGAAGATTAATATGATGAAGATAGACCCGGGGGCCATATTTTTCACTAGTGGCATCTCTCGAGAGCATAAGTATTTTATGGTGGGTGAACGAATTACTGTTGAGCAATCGACAGAATTGAGC